TCCTCTTTTCCCCTTCTCCAATTTGGATTTCTCTTCTCTTATCCGAACCTGAGGTGGGGATTAGAGTTTAGATCTAGGGTTAGGGTTAGGAATCCGACCTTCCCCTTCTCTGATTTGCTTTTAGATCTTCTTTTCTTTTCGGAGTTCATCCGAATGGGTCTCTTCCCCTTCTTTATTCAAGTTAGGGTTAGGGTTCGGTTCAACCCGATCTATTTTGATTCGAGTGCTAGGGTTCACTCTTCTTCCCCGAGACTGATTCCTTCCCCTTCTTCTTTTGGGATTAACCCGATTTGGGATGGGGTTAAAATTAGGGTTAGGTCATAGGATTCGGCCAAAACCGAAACCACTCTTCTTCTTCTTTCCTTAGATCCGAACTGGATATGTTCTGTTCTTGTCGTGCGCTAGTGAGAACGGCGGCACGGCATCTTCCCCCCCGCGTGGTGGCGGTGGTGACCGGTAGACAGTGACGTCCGCCACCCCGGTCTCTCTTTCTGTTTGCTTTTACTCGGTTAGGGTTAGGGTTACACAATGGCAACCTGGCTCTGGTACCATTGTTAGGATCATGGGTGTACCTTTTTGTGTAACCGTAGAACCGGGTAGACCTCTACTTTGGATTCCTCTGCACACCTTGGTTGTAGCCTCACGGACGCCGATGCCATGGTGTAGTAGGCCTCCAGCGCAGTGGAGATGAAGTCCAGTGGCGCTGGTGAAGACCGTGGTGACCTTGCAGAGGAGACGGCGATGGTGGTGGGGCATCCCATCGCTGGTAGCACGCTTTAGATCGGTTTAGGGTTTCTATCGTGGTGGATCAACGGCGGCTCAGACCAACCTCTTGACTCGAGCCGTGATCCCCACCTGTCTTTATATGTACTGTGCGACAGGGGCCCACCAACCATATTAGGGTTGGGCTCCCCCGATCAGGGAGCAGAGACAAGGGCCCAATAGGCCGTTGGGCCTATTGGTGGAGATCAACTAACAAAATCATCCAATCATCCCTCTCTCCGTAAGGGATCCTCTATGTGTCAGCCTCCAAATCTCACGGACCTCTACGTCTCACGTGGAGCCGAACGCGGTGACCTACGCAGGTTCGGACGCGAGCTTCGCGGACGACGGCGTGGATGCAAGCTCCGTGGGCGGTGGCGTGGCCACGCGTGACTTCTGCGGGCGGTGGCGCAGCGGCCACGTACATGAGCTTGGACGCGACGAGGCGCGAACTCCTTGACGAGGCATGTCCGCGCAAGCGAGGCAGCTCTGGGGCGGCGGCCGTGCGAGACTCCATGGCGGTGGCGCTCGAGATCTCGTCGGTGGCCGCGCGAGGGAGCTGGCTCTGCGGAGGCCGCGTGTGCGAGGCAGCCGCTCGAGGCTCCACGACGGCGGCGGGCCAGATCCCGCCGGTGGCTGCGTGAGGCTCCGTGACAGCGGTGGCTGCGCGAGCTCGCATCGACCGCGCGAGTTCCGTGACGGCAGCGGCCGCAGGAGCGGCGCGCACAGGATCCGCATTCGTGGATGGAAACCGAACGCTCCTCCCCCATCGCTGTATTGGATGGTTTCCACTATGGACATGGGACATGGGGGAGCGCAGGCTCGTGGTAACGAGCCGGGCCAGTTGCAAGCCAGCTCTAAGATCGAGAACTCGGTGGTCACCACTAGTTCCAACATCCACGGCGCCTCGTTGCGCGGGAAGTCATCGAGTCTATCTTAGACTCTTTTTTGTATTTTCCCTCTCTTTCTTTAATAAATACAGTGCCACATCAACAAAAATCAATAAATAGAGGGGTAATAAATAGACCTAGAAACTATGGTGAAGTCTGCATTGGGAGTGTCCTAACTTGTCTTTGCCTACATTCTCCTCTAATGATGCTTCATTCTCTGGCTGTAGGTCAAACGAGGGGTTTGGGCTAATGGGCCATAGGCAGTGAAGAACAAACATAAAGGCTTGGACCAAGGGACTGAAGGCCAGAAGACATACCGTGGACGTCTAGTATTTGGAAATGACAAGCAAAAGTACATGTGTATTTGGAAATGACAAGGAGAAGTACATGTGGGAAAGGGATGAAGATTGTGTTGATTGCCAGAGTCAAGACATCGGTCATACCAAATCAGGATGGGCACATGAGTACTTGGTCATCGGTTGGGTCAAGGACAAGCGGGACACACATCGATATCATGAAAGTTGCTTATAGGCTACGCGGCTCCGAAGGTGGTGCTTGTTGCGCTCTACGACGTGTTCTCCAACTCGGCATACCAGCTAGTGTGGGCCTGAGCCTGAGCGCTATGGTGCCAAAGCTAGCCGGCATGGAGCACTAGCTAAGCAAAATCGTTTGCCAATAACACCTCAAGTGGTTCTTTATCTGGTCTTACAAAGTTTAATACGCATAATACTTGATTTATAGGTGGATGTTAAGTAGACGACCATGCAAACCTTTGGAGTGATATAGACCTTTTCTATTTTATAAAGATTTCAACCATGGTTTTGATCGAAATAAATAAAAAGGTAAATGACTTCCTAATTGCTAAAACACCCGGGTCCTTTGTGCCTTTCCTCTAATTCGCGCATACACATACATCTCCTTCAAGCTTAGCACTGGCCTAGCTTGTCCCGACCGTTTTCCTCCTTTATTTTTTTGATGAAAGACCGTTTTTCTCCTTGGCTCCTTCTAGCTGATACACGTGGGTTGTCACCAATCAAAAATAGGTTTGTCAAAATCTTTATGTGAAAATTTAGCTAAACAACATGTCTCTAAATCATTGGTGGGATTGAGTTCATGAGTCCGACGAGTTTGAGCATGGCACCTCTCATCAATTAGAAGTGGGACTTGGGTAATGTCGTGTCCGATAGCCAGTGGCGGAGTGTGAAGCCTAATATTGGGGGGGCATTTGTCAAATCCGAGACAATATATAGGGAAGTTCCATAGAAATAAGTTTTGGTTCTAAACTACATGGTCTATGAAACAGAGCCGAACGAGCATGGGCGTGGGGGCGCCGCCGCCCACCGGCCGGGGGCGATGATGAGTCGGCGAGTCAACTGGGAAGGCCGCCGCGAGGCATCGACAGCTCCGGCCTCTGGCTTCCGGCTCGTCGCCTTATCGTCGTCTGTGAGCCTCCACCGGCCGTCTTGGCCACTCGGTGGATATGGATTATTTTCTTCCCCTTTGCTTTGCATGTTGAGCAATGCCAGGTCCCAGGTGCCACCAGTCATGTGGCTCCTGCGTGCATAATGGGTTGGCTTGCATGTGGCCGGTGGCCCATCGCTTATGCCTTGTGGGCTGAATTAGCTAGCATAGCCATCCAGACTTGCACAACAACACAGATACGGTGCACAGTAGCATAGATCTTCATTTCTTTTTTGCGTGGCAAGGGGGGCCGGAGCCCTCTATGGCCATAACGTGGTTCCGCCGGTGCCGATAGCATAGCTTTCTCATGTTTCATGCCACTTGGGGCTTAAATCCTAGGCACGCTGGTCGTGCCGACATGGAACCACGAGTATTTTCTTGGCACAAGCATGGTCTCGGCAATACTATGCTATTATTCGCAGGTCGATCATTGGCTTGCATTGCTGTCATTGCATTTGAGAACGAGAATGTCGAGTTTAGTATTTGAGAAAAGTCACATGTAATAAATGCAGGACCACTAAAACACGAACGCTCACCTGATTGGAACCGGGCGAACGATCCGACACATCCCACAAGTTTCTTTTTTAGGGAAAAAAATAGTTCCCACATATTCCTTCAAAATTAGATGGCGTTGCATTTAATTCTCCATGCACACACTCAATTTCCGTTTGCGTAACATATATTATAACTTATAGTGACAAGTTATTGTTTACATATAACTTACTATCAAGTCATACATTGATAACTTATATTATAATAACTTGTTTGTATAACTTATATCAAGTCAACATTGATAACTTATATTATAATAACTTGTTTGTATAACTTGGATATATAGCTTGATGAATGACTTAGATATAAAGTTGGACGGATAAGTTATATTCAAGAATTTAGATGTACAAATTAATATAATAACATATTAGCAGAAATATGAAAAACATGGTGCACAACTTTATTATGCATGTACAAATAGTATATGAATCATATATGATCATGTAAAATAGATAGATTAATACATAAAAAAATAAAAAGGCATAGGAAGAAAGTAGAAATAAAAAAGAATAAAAAATAAAAAAACGAGGACGTACGTGCTTCTCGTCATAACCAGTGCAGAGTGTGCGTGGAAAACGGAGGACGCAGGTTGGACTGCACGGAAAATAGAGGACACGGGTCGGACTGCGCACGCCGCGGGGTGGAGAGCAAGCGTGGTGAAAAAGTGATTGCTCGTTTGAAAAGGAGTGAACGTTCATCAAAATACAATTAAGATAATAAGTGCCTACACATTTGATGAAAAGATCGACTTATATCACATTTCCATGAATATCCATTTTTATGGCTATATAATAAAAGGCAAGCACCAATATATAGATGTGTCTTCTTTATGCCCTTGTGGCCTGAGCCCGGTCTAAGTCTTCGTGAGTTGGTCATACCATGCATCCCGTCATGGTGGTACAAGTGAATAATAGAGCTCATAACTATGTTCCAAATTACTCCCTCTATTCTAAATCATATGGCATTTTGGTTTTTCTAATATATAATTTATATGTTTAGATATAAATTATATTTAAATATATAGTAAAAACAATACATGAGGTATCTAAAGAACCAAAATATCTTATAATTTAAAACGGAAAAAGTACTAGCTTGCGAATAGTTCAGAAGACGTACGGTGGCACAAGTGCACAACCGACTAGATAAATTGCACGTACTATGAACAGTGCTTTGTTTGAGTACATGCATGCTGAAATTTCAAATTGTAGTACAATCAAATTTGCAACAAAATAATCAAGAAACAAAAATGGATTGAAAACCAATAAAAGAATTGAAATAAATAGAGCAAGAAACAGGAGCATAATATGAGGATGCTCAGTTGACCATCGTCGATCGTCAACCGGAGTAGGGCTTGTTAACGTAGCCGCACTTCTTTCTGATCTCTCCAATGGCGGCGGTCTTCACCTCGACGCCACCCATCTTCACCATGGCTTTTCCAAACCTGTCCTCCCACTCCTGCTGAAACAAGGCGGCTGCATACACCAGCCCTGCCGTGTCGCCTGACTTGAGGAGTGCGGCGTCCGACGCGAAGAGCACCTTGTGGTTGATGACGTTCCAGTAGTACTGGTTGTCCAGCTGGTTAGGGGTCTTGTAGTCCTGCGCCACCGTGTTGTCGGCGCCGGTTGGCGACGTGCAGTTCGCCTTGAGCTGTGTGGCGAACGGCGGGTTCATGTCGGAGGTGTTGCTGGGCGGGAGGCGGTCCCTGCTGAAGGACGAGCAGTGGGAGCGACACCTTGCCGTCGTATCGCCCCGCGGGCATGGTGAAGTTGATGGCGCTGCCGCTGAGGAAGACGCTGGCGTCGCGGCCGGCGAAGGCGACGATATCGGCGCAGGACACGACGCCCGGGCATTCCGCCTCCAGCGCTGCCTTGGCCGCGTCGATGACCTCGAAGCCGCGCAGGCTCAGGTTGGGGATGCCGAGCATCTCCGGCTGCGGGTTGGTGTCGTTGTCGGGCTTCAGCAGAACGGAGGCGTCGCAGCCCTGGACGAAGCAGTCGTGGAAGAACAAACGGACGAGGCCGGCTTTGATGCCAGCGTCGGCGGCGCGCACGGCGTCCCGCACGATGGCTTCCGCGCGGGGGCACTTGTCGTTGTAGTATCCGACGCTCAGTCCAGACCCAGCGGCAGGTGGTGGTGGGCTAGCAGGTGTGGGAGGAGGAGGATAGGTGGTGGGCGGGCTCGGCGTCGGATGATTTGCAGCAGGTGGCGGCGGGGCTGGAGATGAATAGGTAGGCGGGCTCGGTGTCGGGCTCGTCGGAGGATAAGCAGGTGGCGTCGACGTCGAGGTAGGAGAAGGAGTAGGATTGCCGCCGCCATAGCCGTAGCCCGCTTGTTGGCACGACACGGAACCGAGCAGCGCGAGCACTAAGGTGCCGAGAACGGCGAGCTTAGCGGCCATCCCTGCACCTGCCTAGCTTAGTGTTCCGCGCTCGAGTGTGATAAAATCAGCTCGAGAGATGAATGGGAGAGAGAAAGCTTGGAATGTTGCGATGAAGGGGAGCTGCTGCATTGCACGTCTATTTATAGCTGCTGCGCGGGGACTACTGTAGAGCGTGTTCGGAAATCGGAATGTTTTTGGAGCGCACGTCGTAGCGGTGAACACTCAGCAGGAACGACATGGAGAGCACACAGCTAATAAATAAGCAAGACGGCACTGGTTCTCTGCGAGAGAGGAATTGACTTTTCGTGGTTTTGGTCAACAAGAAGACTTGCTAGATTATTTTGAAACCTCAACCAAGACATATATACATCTAGCTTATTATCCAATATATACGTACAGCTAGCTATTGCTAGCTTGGGATGTTTGGAGTTCATCAACCCTCTTGCAGTTGCTCGAATGAGAGAGAGAGAGAGAGAGAGAGAGAGGAATTTTTGGATGTTGTTAGAGAGAGAGAGAGATATATACTCGAGAGAGAGAGAGAGATATATAGATATATATATATATATATATATATATATATATATATATATATATATATATATATATATATATATATCGCTATTTAGAGCCCTACGCTCTAAATAATATTTAGAGCGCCGTGACGGCGACGTGCTGAGGAGGGCCGCTCTCCTGATGTGCGCTGGTGGGGAGGGTGGAAGGCAGGGGCACAGAGTATATTTGTTGGTTTTTATCTGATCATTTTTAATACCTTGCTCATAAAAATTATAAAGCAGTTTTGTATCAGAAATCTCATACTATTCTTAAACATCCCAGTTACTTTTGTACTTATACTTTCTTTCTCTTGTACATTGAAAACAATCATTTCTCCTTATTCTTCTCCATGTCCTTCATGCTTATACTTTCTTTTTATTCTTCTTCACGTCCTTCGTACGTACTTGCACTTTCTTTCTCTTGTACACCGGAAACATATCGTCTCTCCTTATTCCGTACTTTCTTTCTCTTGTACACCGGAAACATATCGCCTCTCCTTATTTTTCTCCATGTCCGTCCACCACCAATTTCATTAAAAAAATGTCCACACACCATATCAGCTTTGATCTATTAGATGAGCACATATCGTTTCAAGATTGATTTTCCCAAATGCGAAAAGATTGGAAGTTGAGATAAAAAGTTGGGAAGGTATTTTTTTTCGATCTTACTAAAAAATCTAGATTGAATGTGGATTTTGGAAACTCTTGAATACGCTCTGATGGCTGGCGCGTACAATGCCTGTTGCTGGGGAAAAAATTAGGTGGGTACACTGTCCAACGATACTCCGTGCATACCCTTTCTGATGGAGGACGTGTGGAGAGGCTGCAGATCGCGTTGCCAAGCGCCTCTCCGAGAGACTGACACAAGCGGCGCTTGTTGGCTGTCATCCGCATGACCGCGCATGCTCCCCCTCGTCATCGCCGGCACGGAGACGGTGGCATCTATGCCGACGCGGTGCTGTCGTCCTGCAAGGCTGCAACCTCCCCACTGTACGTGGCCCTGCTATCCTTCATGCCGCTGTGACTGCGAGGTGTTATTGTGCAGTGTGGGCATCGCTGGCTTGTGAAAGATGAGGCAAGGAAGTGATGCCCTCGAGGTGTTCGGCGGAATGGCAGGAGTGGCGTCGCGCAGAAATCAGTTCGGGTGGCCGTGTGATCCCGTCTCGGAAGGCTCCTGTAATTACGGCGCTTCTCCAGCCCGAGGACGATGGCCGCTGCTGTGTTGGGGAATCTAAGCCCGAAGGGATCCGAGTCGATGGGCTGCTGGCGAGCCAAACGCCGACGTCGTGAGTTGGTGACACGCTGACACGCATCACCGGTTGAGGGACAGCAGTATGCACGCACTTAACTTTTTTTCCCAGAACGCACAGGCGGATACTTCCGATTACGGGCAGACGACACGTAAGTACATCGCACACATACACAGATGTGCGCGACAAGTTCAGAAGAGAGGACATGGACGTTGCTAAACGACACTACTGTTTTCCACCACTACACGAGACGAGTGGCGTTACAGGCTTAGGGCCTGTTTGGTAGGGCTCTGGCTCCTCTAAAAATAGCTCCGGCTCTGGTTTCTCTAATTTTTTTTCTTTGAGGTTGTAAACCCCCAAAAAGCGTTGGGTAAAATGGCTCATTTGCACTAACGACGTGTTCTTTAACAACGAAACGCCAGCTCGGTTTTTTAGGCTTCTGCCCGGAGGCAAAAATGACTCTGTCACACGGCTACATAGAGCCATTTTCAAAACAGACGTTTAACATAGCTCCTGCAGGAGCCGGAGCTAAAGCCCCTGCACGAGCTCCGCCAAAGAGGCTCTTGGAACATACACACATACATAGAGCCCATATAAAGACTTCAGAAGCACCAGCAGGTGACACGAGAGATCCGCGCGCGCGGACTAACGGGCGACGACGCCGGCCGACCGGCAGCGAACAGTCGGTCGAACACCTAGACGGCCGGCTAGCTAGACCTTGGTGAAGCGGAGGTAGCCCTTCTTGGAGGGCAGGTCGGCGGTCTCGAACCCCTGCGGGAACATCTTCCTGGCCTCCTCGTCGGAGACGCCAGGCGCGATGACGGCGCACTCCCCGGGCTTCCAGTTGGCGGGCGTGGCGACCTTCCCGCCGTGCTTGGCGGCGGTGAGCAGCGAGTCGACGGCGCGCAGCACCTCCTCCATGTTCCGCCCCGTGGTGGCCGGGTACAGGAAGCTCAGCTTCACGGCCTTGTCGGGCCCGACGACGTGGAGCGCGCGGGACGGCAGGCTCACCCCCTTGGCGTCCTTCTCGTCGGGGTCCACCATGTTGAGCTGCCGGATGGCGTCCCGACCCGGGTCCGCCAGGATCGGGTACGTCACCTTGTGCTTGCCGCCGCCGTACGCCTCGATGTCCTTGGTCCACTCCCTGTGCGACTCCACGTCGTCGCACGAGATGCCCAGCAGCTTCACGCCACGCTTCTCGAACTCCTTGGCGTACCCCGCCATCGCCGCCATCTCCGTCGTGCACACCGGCGTGAAGTCGGCTGTTGTGTCATGACATGCATCAGTACAGAGATGGACAGAATGTGCGTGCATGCAAGCATATGGCCGAGCGAGCGTATAGTACCGGGGTGGGAGAAGATGATGGTGTAGCCGTCGCCGACGTAGTCGTGGATGCGGATCTTGCCGTGGGTGGAGTCCAGCTCCAGGTTGGGGACGGTGTCGCCGATGGTGAGCCCCGGCATGGTGCCGCCGATCGAAGTGCGCTGCGAGCTTGTACCACTGTGAGTAGCTAGCTAGCTTGTCGATGTTGTTGTCTTACAAGAAGACAGCTGCTGACGACTCCGCGCAATGGAGACCTCAGTGAGAGAAGAAGGAACTGATCGAGCGTGCGCATATATATCTGGCGAGATCGGTGGTGGACGGACAGAGCGCGTGGAGAAGTGGCACCCAGGCGCGGTGCATGGGCGCCGCGTAGCTAGCCTCGTGGCACCTGCGTCGGCCTCCGGCGCTCAGTGCGTTTGACCTGCCACCAGAGTTTTGTACCGGTGGCGAGTGCCAACAGGGTTTGGTTTGTTCTAGAGATGGGCTGTAATGCAGGAGTTCGGCCCATGCAACAATGGGCTCAACTAGTTTTTCGAGCCCAATTCAGTTTTGGGTGGAATCTCTCTTAGACGGGCTCTTTTGAACTCAGATGGGCTAAAACCTCCTCACTCTCAAAAAAAATAAGATGGGCTAAAACCAGCTAAGTGCCCAACAACGATACAGCGTCATGATTCTTCGCCCTGTTCGCTTAACTTATAAATCATATTTTTTTAGGCAACGAATAATATTTTTCTCCCACAACAAATCAATCGGCAGTACTTTTCACCATGGCGATAAGCGAACGAGCAACAATTATTATCCCAATCAGGAGACCGAGTCGCGATCATCATCGGGACGTCGCAAGTAAGCCACAATGACTCGTCGGCCCGCCCCAAGGCATTCTCCCGGTGGCGGGCCTAACGCCGATGACTCGGCCGAGCCCCTCATTGCCTTACGCGGCGTGCCGCCCAAGGCGTTCTCGTGAGGCATTGCGGGAGGGCGGCGAGCGCCCGAAAGCCGTTCGGCAGACACGTCTGAAGTCCCGATCCTTGTCGGCTGAATGGGCGGTTGGGCCCGAGATGGGCTCCGCACACGACGCTTGCCAGTTGGCCGTGAACAGCAGACCACCGCGAGTCCGGCTGAAGCACACGTGGTTGATCCGATCCTTGTCGCCTCCGCTCCGGACGCCCTCGGGCCGCCGCCGACCACGACGACATATGCCCCGGCCGCCGCCGTTGCCGCGCGCCGTGACGGCGCACCTGTGAGATACTTGAACACGGCCGGGTTCGAACACCGTCAGTCACTCGTCTCCGTCGGTTCGGCGAGAACGCGATCAGGCTCCGTCTGGCGACCGGCTCGACATCGTGTCGATCCACTCGCCCTCCGTCGCCCGACGCCTCCTTTCGTCGCGTCACCGTGTCGAGTTGACGAGCGATCGGACCGTTCTTGTGCTCCGTCCGCCCGATGGGCGGAACACACCCGGCCACCGTCCGTGGTGTAGCGACGGCTCCGCCGAGAACAGCGTCGTTGCCGCACCTGACGCCGACTGGAAGAAATCGCCGTTCACGCGGTCGCGCCCACAGGCGAAGGCGCCGATCACCTCCATGATGCGTCGTCCGTGAGGAGGTCACCGGTCGAGAACTCCACGCAGCGGGGGCTAATCCGATTTATCGCCGCCGGGTCTCGAAGATGGGGCCCATGGGCGTGAACACCACCCCGGGCTCGGTCGTAAAGTAGGGCTCGGTGGCCCCAAAGTAGAACAAGTTGAAAAGGCTCCTTGCTCAATTTGTCTTGCCCACCGATTCTAATTGACCCGTCGGCGACTCCGCGGAGCACCATGACGTCTTCTTCCTGGCGTCGTGAAGAAGTCGCCGTTGCGGCGGTGGTGCGTCGGCATCGCGCTTTCGCGGCAACAACTAGAACCAGACGGGCGAGAAGGTCGGAACGCATGACGCGTTACGCGCGAAAGCCCCATCCGGATTGTGGGTATGTATGTCAAGTATATATTCTTATTTGGGATTTAGGAATCCCTTACGGTGCAACCGCATGTTTAGTGCGGGAATTCGCTGAAAGAAACTAAATTGAGGGTATAATTTTCTTAAATTACTTTCTAATTTCTAAATTTATAGTAAACTCATGTTGCCCAAAAACATGCATGTGGAAGTAAACAAAAAAGAAGAAAGGGATAGCGCTTCGACAATCACAAGAAGAAAAAAAAAATATATTATAGTGGTGGAGGCATCGTTATATTGAGGAGCTCCGTAAGGCGGGAGAAGCGCTCCGCTCTCTCCGGTCACTAGATTCACGAACGGCTGGCTGGCGGGAGAAGCGCCCGTCTCGGCGTGGCTGGCTGCGCCCGGCCCTTCCGCCAGCGTGGCGACCGTGATCCACCGCCGCCGCCGCCGAGGGCGGCGGGTGCGGTGGGTGGTGAAGCGCAGCAGGCCAATGGGTGACGCGCGCTTCGGGCCCGTGGGCTGGAGCGTGTCCGGGAGACGACACGCTGAAGACGCCCACCACCGTCGTCCCATGACGTGGTGGAAGAAGAAGCCGTCGCGCCCGTGCCGCGGGCCACCCGCCCAGCGGTGCCACGACGGCGGCGGGGCGGGACGGGTCGGCCACGCGGAACACGGCCACCTCCGTTTCCAGGACCCGGAAGTCGAACGCCCAGGGACGGTCGCCGTACGACGCCACGGCGACGAGGTCGCCCGAGGCAGACACGGCGGGGCTCATGTCCACGACGCCGCGCGGGGTGAGCCTCTCGGGCTTCCCCTCCTTGCCGTCCGCGCCCACACGCGCCGCGTACACGGCGGCCCAGCTCTGGAACGGCCGGTCCGGCTTCTCGTGCGCGGAGACGAAGTACACCCGGCCGCCTCGCACCGTGGGGCGGTCGTGGAACAGGCTGCCCTCCGTGGCCAGGAGCGGCTCCGGGCGCTCGGACCCCGGCCTGGAGAGGAACAGGCTCGCTGCCCCCGTCCGCTCGGACACGAACGCGACCGCGTCGCCGTCGTTGTCCGCGAACTGGGCGTTGAAGTTGACGGAGACGCCGTCCGTGTGGCGCCGCTCGTCGAGCTCCACTGCGGAGACACTGGCCTCGGCATCGGCGGACGCGGGCTCAGGGACGGCGACGGAGAAGACGTCGAAGCCGAAGTTGGTGACGCCGACGGACGCGAAGACGATCGTGCCCGCGGGCTCCATCGTGATTTGGGGCCTTGGGGGAGTGACTGGTGGTGCTGGTAGTTGGCGCGATGGACTGATGCTGCTGGAGGGAGCGGGAGCTGTCAGTTGCTGTGACTGAGCCTCCGGAAGTGTGGAGTGTGTGTGAAGCGCAGTGCTGTGCCTGCCCATATTTGTAGGTTGGTTGTGGGTCCACGTGAGGGGACGCTATCTGCTTGGAATTGATGGGCGTGTGGACTGTTGGAGTGGTTGTCGGGCCACTGCCGTGATGGAGTGTGCATATGTGGCGGGTGTGAACGAGCGTGTGCCGAAGGGAATCTGTGGATCACGTAGCCGTGCACAACCCGATCACTCGATTATTAGGCCCGCCTGACGGCCTGGGCCCTGACAGTATTGTCCGCACCTCAGTCCCTCGTGACAACTGAAATAATGCTGACAAGCTAAGGGCCACATCGATCGGTTCAGCGAAACAAAAATTCGTAGCACGCACTGATAGACTCGTAGGACCTCAATGGAGGAAATTCTCGACTTAGACAAAAGAACTTGATAAAGTACTTCACCAAGCAGCGTCGCGGCCATAGCGCCGTAGCGACGTGGCCTCGAGTGTCGGAGTAGAGGTAGCTTAATGCGTTCGCTAGGATGTCGAAGGTGGCAGCAGTGCAGGCGCGGTCTAGTGGCGGCAGCGAAGGCGGTGGGGCTTTCCGTCGCTCACGGTCGCCCTCTAGATCAGACTAGGGCTAGGAACCTCGGTGGGATGCTGACGGCCGCGGTGAACCTTATACCTTGCGTTCCGCCCCCACCTTCCTCTTTATAGCGCTGCACGACGAGGGCCCATCGGCTAGAGAAGCGATTGGACGCCCGATCAGGGCGCGGATCAAGGGCCCAATTGACCGTTTGGCCAACTGATGGAGATCAATCTAACATTCTCTCCTTTGATCTCACCTTATGACTTAAACTTAACTTACTTTATTTTTTTCATTTCATCGCAGATCAGTGTATAGAGCGTGCCTCATCATCACGGACAGTTGCCATTAGATTAAACAGTTACAATGCACCTCTCTGTTTTGAAATATATTCTCAACTAGCCCTTTAGTATCTAGAAATCATAGGCTTTCCCATAAACTCATATCGACTGTGTATTTTCTGAACGCACTGGATAATTAGCCTTTGGTAAGCGGATCCACAAGTACTTGCTTGGTACTTATATGCTCAATGCTTTCAAAATAATTCTGAATTTTTTCCTTTATAGCATATAACTTAATGTCTATGTGTTTGGCAGCACACTTGACATGTTGTCTTAGAAGTTAACTACTTTAAATGATTATTGTTGTTGACTACCATTGTTAAATCCGGGTACATATTCCCTTAACCACTTTTGTATGTTCCTGAGGCCTCATGACAAGCTATAGTATGGTATACATCATTGATGACACCACAACTGTTTTATTGAAGCTTTTCTACAACAATACTCCAACTGCGAGTGTTAGCAATTACTGTGGATTTTACTACACATCTCGTCAAAACTTAACATTTGTACTCACAACTATTTGAGATTTCTTGTTCTTTCTTACTCAGCATGAGACCTATGATACTTTGCAAAAATTACAAAATATTTTTAACTACGTTCCAGTGATCTATATCACATGATTATGCCATGCAAATAAAGTTATTTCTTGATCCGTATTGGAGTACATTTTCCTCATTCCACTTTAAGAACTCGATGAAATCTTTTATTAACTGTACTTTTGTAAGTCACGTTTGCATCTTTTTCTTATCCTTTGATTAGTATTGACCATGACGATGCATTCTATTGTGCCATGGTCAATACTAGGATAGTATAAGAGCTACCCAAACTTCTCTCGCTATGCGAGATATAAAAATATGTGAGTCATCACAAAACTTCTTCCGTCATACAGGATTGACTAGCATAAGTACTATGCCAAATTTCTCCCCATGTGGGATAAATCTATATACAAATTACGATAACGAAAATTTTAGTCATGATGACTAAAACATTTACTTATACTTGTATTTTCTAATTAAATCTTTTCGTTGGTTCTAATTTAATTAGAAAATTAATAAACTAACAAAAACATATCCTGAACTGACTTGATTCAAACCTTTTCATTTATATACCCCAGTATTACAGCCCGTTGGCATGCAGTCGAATGATCTCGATTAAAAAATAAAACTTACAAGATGCTTCTGCATCAATTCTACATCACCATTGGGCAGAAAATATAATTAATGCATAAAACTCATATATTAACTTAAAAGACATATAACTACTCTTTAAAATTAAATTCTTCTGTTGGTTCAAATTTAATTAGAAGATCATCAACATCATTACAGCGAAACACGATAATAAAATACATTCTATTAGTTCAGAAGCATTTCTTGGTGTTTATCTACTCTCTGAAAAATTGACCATGTTGGTGTAAAATTTATCAGAGATTTAAACTTCAACCTTAAACTCATTATAATATTGTTATTATCAACGTTGGTCAGAAAATAACAATACCATAATTTAACGTAAACAAATCATACTACTCCTCAAATTTAAATTTTCCTGTTGGTTCTAATTTAATTAGAGGATAAATATAATCATAATTTACTAAAAGTAACTGCTCTTCAAATTAAATTCTCCCGTTGGTTCGAATTTAATAAGAAAATAATCAGCATTAAACTTTGAAGCGGAAACATGAAAAAAATTCTTTATCTACTTTTCAGAAGTATTTCACTGTACTCATCTACTCTCTGAAAAAATTATCCCGTTGGTTTAAATTTTGATAGAGATTTAAACTAGATAAAAAAATCATCAAAATTTGCTTCTGAAAATGAATAAACATGACTCGGTATGTACTCTTCATTTTGCCCAGCCCATTGAAATAGTACGCGGCCCAGCAACGAAACACTGCCCGCGCGCCCGCGCTCGCGGCCCAGCGGCAGCCCAACACGGCGCTCGCGCCCGCTCCCCCGCGCCCAGGCCGCAACATGGGCCTAGGCCAGGAATCTCTGATCCCGCCTGGGCCGCTTTCGATCTGATGCGTTCTAAGCCGTTGATCTACATCTGATGGTCGTCCGCGCATTTCGCTCGGAGTAAAAACGGCGACCACGGCATTGCGTCTGAAACCCTAACTCATTTCTTCCCCGGCCTTCTTTCTCTTCGCCACACACGCAGCCGAGCAGTGAAAAGAGCAGCGGTAGCGGCGCCGGCGCCGATGCTCGCGCTCGCCCTAGTCTGAGTGCGCCGTCGTCGAACGGTCTAGGCGACGGTGCCCCATTTCCCACACGCGCTGCGGTGGGCTCGCCCTAAACCCTAGATCTTCCCCTTTTCTCCTCAGTGTAACCGACATCGAAGACGAAGAGTGCGGCACCACCACGGGTCCTCTCATTGGAGAGCGTGCTCCCAATGGGCGAAGCGCCACCATCAGCGGTCTGTGTGTCGGGCCTCTGAGCTCGCAAGACCGACATGATTGTCGTCGAAAGCGGCGGCTCGGCCCATTACGCGGCGCGTGATTTGAGGATTCTACCTGCCACGACGGTGGTGGTGATGCGTGGCGGGGAGTCGGGTAGATCCTCCCCTCCTTCGTCCTTACTCTAGGGTTAGGGTTTCGGGTTGGATCCGATTTGAATCACTTGATTCTTGATTTCTAATATGTTTTCTACCCTAATCTGCTAGATCTACACACTAGTACCATGGCTCTGATACCATTGATAAATTTGTAGGACCTCTAGGTGTAGATCAGTGGAGAAATTCTCAACTTAGACAAAAGAACTTGCTGATGTACCTCACCAAGCAGCGTCGCGGCCATGGCACCACATCGACGTGGCCTCGAGTGTTAGAGTAGAGGTAGCTTAACGCGCCCGCTAGGGTGTCCAAGGTGGCAGCAGTGCAGGCGCGGTCCAGTGACGACGGCGAAGGCGGTGGAGCTTCTCGTCACTCACAGTGCGCCCTCTAGATCGGACTAGGGTTAGGAACCTCGGTGGGGCCCTGGTGGCTGCGGTGAACCTTGTACTTTGCGCCCCGGCCCCCACCTTCCTCTTTATAGCGCTGCGCGATGGGGGCCCATCAGCCAGGAGAACAGCTAGGTGCCTCCGATCAGGGTGCGGATCGAGGGTCCAATTGGCCGTTGGGCCAACTAGTGGAGATCAATCTAACACGCACCAGTTCGTCAGCCAGTCAAAAACTCAGTATAGCTAAAAAAGAGAAATGCTATATCTCAACCGATTGTTTGTTGCACCTCCACCAACCAAATTTGTGTGCGTCTGATCCGCATAGGAAGCCCGGCTGCCGTCCGATCTGTCGCACAGGTTCAGACTCGCTGCTTCCTTCTCGCTCCACCCGACCGCGCTCCGCCCCTAGTCCATCGCCCGCCAAGCTCTGCTCGACCACGCTCCACTCCTAGGCTGCCGTACCAGGTCGCCGCCACCCCTAGGCCGCTGCACCTAGGTCACCGCTCCCAGGCCGCCACACCTAGGCCGCCCCGCTGCCCCAGCGCGAGCATCCCTAGTGCAGGCGCGACATCCTCGGCAGGCATCCCAGCACGGCCGCTGTCGTCCTTTGCTTCCTCCTGCTTCCTCTCTGTCGCTCAAAGACGAGATGTGCTCTCTGTTGTTGTTATTCTCTACTCTGTTCTTCCATTTGTAAATTTTTAAATTTGTGAAGAATTTGATGATATTTGTGAACAATTTGACATATATTTAGTACGTGGAATCCATAGAAAAAATTTATATTTTTTTTGAAAATTTAGTATTTATTTGTCTAAGATCATGTGTTATCCCCAAATTATATCACTCTGTCCAATATATTATACTGAAGAAATCATTGTAAATATAGTAATAAGACAATATAAATATAGTTAGATAACAGTATAAGTGCATGAGAAAAATTCAGTTGATAGGAGAAGCCAAAACAACTGAATGTCCTCTCATTTTCACCACCGTAGTTTTGGTGATCCACATCTACGGTGCGGCGAGTTGAAGGAACCAACCAAACATGCCCCTCTCTCTTCTTCATCCTCTCCTCATTTTCCCTTACGAAGCATCACCAGGGAGACGCACAAGCGTGGCACAACGATTAGAGCGTCACACTGGCCAAGCTAGGTGATAGGGGCGTGCAAGGGGCGTAGAGCTATGACAAGGAGAGGGGAGGAGGAGGCAAACTAACTCGTACACATGCACATAAACTGAAGTAGTCCAGCCTCTCATTCATCTCCCGCAAGATCTATATCATCCTCGACATTGACGCAAGAGGGCCGATAGCGAAGCAGAGAGGTTAGTCACCTCGGTCGTAATGTGACTATTGTGAGGCAAGGAAGAAAGATGCAATACAATGAGCGACGAGCTTGGCTACGGGAAAGAAGGCGTGTTGACCGTGCCAGTCATGGCCCTACAAGGGAAGGAGAGGGGCGGCCCGGGGCATCAAATGCATAGAGCAATAGTGAGGAGGTGAGTAAGACGATGTGTACAAATCAAACTAACCTAACTTTGATCAAGTTATAGTGAATATTATTAATATTTATATATATTTTTTGAAAAAAATATTATTTATGTATCTAACTAGGTTTATTATAAAAATATTGTACAATTAATTAACAAATACTATTTTTATCGTAAATGTTAGTATTTTTATATAACTTTAGTGAAAGTTCAAATCGTTTGACTTTTTGAAAAACCGATAATTACACTCTTTCATAGATGGAGAGGGTACTTTGAAATTAACATTTTTTTTAAAAGTACACAAATAATTTTTCTGTAATTTGATTAAGTAGTTTTCTTTAAAAATGTTAAAATCTATACATATATTTTTTAAAAAAAAAATCAAAATCATACTATGCAAATGTGGATGGAGGGAGTACCGATCTTCATCGTCAAACAACCAAAAGTGAACACCAAACATTAATGAACGAACCTAAGCCAATGGCGCTTTCTCGATAACCAAATAACCACTTCGACTGGAACAACGGCCGGCAGCTGAACCGAGAGTCTCCGTGGGTGTTTGGCATGGCTCATCTTAAAGAGTGAGACCCGTTCTCCTCTAAAATGACTCCGACTGCTCTGTTTTTTACTTTTAAAAAAACGCCTTCTCCCAGAACCAGAAACCGGAGTGCGGAGGAGCCCTGCCAAAGCCCTCCTCCGTCAGATCCAGCTCCTATCACGCACTCGCAGTTCAAATTTGAATCGGAGCGGAGAGAACCCCAAGTCCCCAACGACCGTTTCTGGTCGCCTCTGCGGCTCTGCCCACCCCGCTCCCACTCACGCTCTCGCCACCTCACTCACTCACTGCTCCGCCCGCCACCGCCATGGCTGCACCAGGCGCCGGCACCGGCGGCCGGCGCGCCTCCAGCTCGCGAGCCCGCCGCGCGTCCGCCGCGGCGGCGGAGTCTAATGAGAACGAAGACCTTGCCGCCGCGTCCTCTTCCTCGTTCGCCCTCGCCCCCGCTCCGCATTTCTCGCTGCCCCCGAGGTCGCCGCTCGCGGCCATCGCGGATCCCGGGCGGAACCCTCGGTCCGCGCCGGCGACGCCCAAGTCGCTGGCCAGCACGCCCAGGGCCTCCGCGGCGGGGTCGGGGGCCAGGGACCGGACCTCATCGGTTGGGGCGGCGAAGAGGGTGTTCGATCTGAGGGATGTCGCGGCCGCGGAGGTGCCCCTCGAGGTGCCGCACTTCGAGCTCGACGAGGACCCCGCGTTCTGGAAGGATCGCAATGTGCAGGTTTGGATGTTCGCAGCTCGAACCCGTGAAGTCGTTGAAATCGTTCAGTAGAAGCAGTAAATAAACTATATAATAATCATCCTGTATCAATTAGATTGGCATCCGTCCTCCTTGAAAAATAATGGTCTTGATGACGATCAAGTAATCCTGGTATTATGCTGGCTTAACTGTGCGCATCATGTAATTCTACTAATAATGGTGTCACCATATTTGTAGAAAATAAAATGAAGAATAATCAATAATGTCTAACCATCATGTAAGGCTGATGCATTTTGATGGCTTGTCATGCCCGCTGAGTTCTAGCATTCCATTTGTCAGTGATTCTGCATCATGCCAATTATGACTTCTTTTACATGTGTCCAAATTCGATATGTGTTCGCACGCCCTCAGGCTTCTAAAGCTAATATGGCGAATGTGTTGGACTTTTGATGTGGTTTCTACAGGTTTTGATACGGATAAGACCAATTAGTGATGCCGAGAATGCTACTCATGGTCAGAAAAGGTGCTTGCTGCAGGATAGCTCAAAGACATTGAGCTGGACAGGACATCCGGAAACCATGTTCACGTTTGACCATGTTGCATGCGAAACAATATCACAGGTCTCTAGTGTGCTAGCACTCTTTTTGTTCCTTTCTGGATCAGTCTTCCTTTAGCCTAAGCAACCTTTTGTCTATACAACAATTAGGAAAAGCTATTCAGAGTTGTGGGTCTGCCAATGGTGGAGAACTGCATGTCAGGATACAATGGTTGTCTGTTTGCCTATGGTCAGGTAAGACAAACTGACAACTTGGGCTATTCTGTGTCCGCAGAAGAATTTACCTGAACTGTATGTAACTCAATAACTATACTTTTATAGACGGGAAGTGGGAAAACTTACACAATGATGGGAGAACTTACAAAGTTGGGCAATGAGCTTAGTAAGGATGCTGGCTTGACACCTCGCATTTTTGAATATCTTTTTCGACGGATAAATGAGGTACAATGTTTGTATGTCTACTTTAGTGAATTATTGCTGATTAATAGACTAAAATGTAATGAATGTGAAGGAAGAAGAGCGCCGGAGAGAAGAAAAGCTTAAATATATTTGCAAATGCTCTTTTCTAGAGATTTACAATGAACAAATAACTGATCTACTTGAACCCTCGTCAACCAATCTTCAGGTGAGCTAACAATGAGTAGGATTTGCTTCATCTTTTCCAAACTGAATGTTAAATCTCAGATTTATTTTTCTCTGTAGATCCGTGAAGATATAAAGAAAGGTGTATATGTTGAAAATCTAATGGAATGTTATGTGTCATCTGTTGAAGATGCTATGCTGCTATTGCTACAGGTGATAGAATGTTTTCTCCATCGTTCCTTTTGATTGAATCTGAATATTGAAGGTTCTGTAACTGTTAAGTGATAACTTAATCCAATGAAATTCCTGAAATATTCTTCTAGGGGGTTGCAAACAGGAAAATGGCTGCCACAAATATGAACAGCGAGAGCAGCCGCTCACATAGTGTTTTTACTTGTGTAATTGAGAGTCATTGGGAAAGTGATTCGATGACACACCTCCGATTTGGGAGGTTGAATTTAGTTGATCTTGCCGGTTCTGAGAGGTGAGTTACATAATAAAGTAGCAAAGTTCTCTTGCTTCACAAATATTGACTGTGTTCAAACTAGGCAGAAAAGCTCAGGTGCCGAAGGAGAACGTTTGAAAGAAGCTGCAAACATTAATAGATCGCTGTCAACCCTTGGGTAATCTTTTGTTCTCCGACAGTATTATCTATGTATTTTGGTGTGGATCATACTATTTGAACTCAGAAACAAAAGTAAATAACTGCATGTCCAATGTCTATCCAGCTGCAAGCATTTTATATCTAGCACGGCTAACTTCATGCTTATATTGTAACACTTGTGGCATTTATAATGGCATAAGAAATGCTAGTCCCTTTCATGTTAAGTTTCACAATTGTATTTTTTTTTTCAATTTTATGAAACCTGCCTTATTTCATGACCAGGTAAATAATACTGATGCATAATATTGTTGTTTTGAATTTTTAGATTGTAACAAATATATTCATATTTGGATATCAAGATTGATATTTTGCTAGCATGAGAAGTTGTAGTTTAAGAAACACCATGCACAAGTCATCAAATTATAATCCATTTATATCCTCTTTCAGGCTTGTTATTATGACTCTAGTGGATGTTGCAAATGGGAGAAGCCGTCATGTTCCTTATAGAGATTCAAGGCTTACATTTCTCCTTCAGGTTAAAATACAAATAAAAGCACATGTGTCCATTGTTTTCTCTGGCTCATTATCATATCTTGGCAGGATTCACTAGGAGGGAACTCTAAAACAACAATTGTTTCCAATGTCAGCCCATCTATTTGGTATCCATCTTCTGTATCTTCATATCCGCTAACTGCTATTCAACGTTTTTTCCAGATACTTAACAATGTGCTTGACTCAGTCATCTATGAATTACCTCTATTGCAGTTCTTCCAGTGAGACATTGAGTACCTTGAAGTTTGCCCAACGTGCAAAGCTGATTCAAAATAATGTACTTATTTTTTCAAGTATATCGTTTTTTTAAGATATGGGAATGTTTCCCTGTTGACTTAATTGGGGATCCATTTACTTATGTTAGGCAAAAGTAAATGAAGACGCTTCAGGAGATGTTATGGCTTTACAAAGGCAGATAGAGGAACTAAAGGTAAGGGTTGCTTTCTTTCCCTTTCAGAACTCCCTTATTGAATTAGAGGTGATTCTTTGTATAATGCGTGACTTCACTCTAACAGGATCAACTGACATGCTTGAAGAAGCAAAAAGATTGTCCTGGATCACCTAGCTTGTTGCTTAATTCAGACTTTGCCAATGAATTCAAAACTTCATGTGGAGTAGATGATCAACTAGACTGTGATCTGAATATCCTAAAGCAAAAGGTCACATGGCATGATTTTCCATTTTGGTAAATAATAATAACCATATATTACAACATAAACTACTCATACATTAATAACAGGTTAGCCATCTAGAACATGTCTTGGCTGGGAGCCTCAGGAGAGAGAAATCAGCGGAGACCAAGATTGGGAAGCTGGAAGCAGAAATACAGCACTTGAACCGTTTGGTAATACTATTTTCTATCACAGATGTCTCAATTTCTTAAAGAAGAGCTAATAATCAATATGTGCTTATATCCTCAAATATGCAACATAAAATACAATTATCTTCTTATAAGAATGAGTTGTGTATGGGTTCAATACTGATACTATCTGTTTTGACAGGTCAACCTGATTGAGTCTGACGCACAGCGCTTGAGGAAGAGGCTCGAACTTCGTGGTGAAAAACAAAGATTACACTCGATTGGTGAAAATGCTGCATTATCCCAGGAGATTCAGTTGTTGCAAGAACAAATCAATGAAAATCCTCAATTGACTCACTTCGCGTTGGAAAACAAGAGATTGATTGAGGAACTTACAACGTAATATTGCAATATTAAAATTTGAATTCCTAATGATTTTGGTTGCAAACAGAAAACTTACATAGTGACTTGGGATCTTTTGTGCGTTTGAAGAAAGTGAGTTTAGCTTATTCTACTTTACTGACATACAGGCTTCAGAACTTCTACAAGCAAGGGGAAAGAGAGATGTTATTGACAGAGATATCTCTTTTGCGGAATCATGTATGTTCAGCCTTCCTGAGCTTCTTTCTGCTGAATTTTTTTAATCTTGCATGCTGTTCTGATAATTTTCTATCTGTAGTTCCTTCATATCCTTGAGCATAAATACGCAGCAGCTCCTAAAAATGTAGAAGCTCAGGTGTGTTCTCATTAGTTTTGGTTCATTACTTATTCGCATTGATGTGGTCCCTGTCTCTGTTTCCAAGGAAGCCAAAAGCTTAGCCTAAATTTTATCGAGAAATACCATATTATAACCCATAAGGGGAAGTGGCATAATTTGCAAGTTAACCTAATTTGCTTCAACATATAAACTGAGTTTATTTTCTAATTGTGGGATGCATTGGTTTTAGGGTGATGAGCTCATCAAGGAGCTTGACAATTGCAGGAAGGAACTGGATGCATGCTTAGAAAACAATGTTCTGTTAGCTCGGTAAGTATTTTTACAACTGCCTTATATCTCAATGTATATTCATATATAGTTCCTGATTATCACAATCTACTGCTGATGTTATCTGTTACACACCTTACATCTACTTATTTCTGGGCCCTTAAGCAATCTAATAATAAATTTACCATTCATGTTGATTGCAGTGAAGTAAATAAGCTTCGCTGTGAACTGATACAATACCAGAAGCCCTGCACAAATCAAGTACGTATGACGTTTGCACAGCCTCCAATAACTCAATGCTTGATGCTCATATTCGTTCATCCTATTTTCAGGTTGCTCCTGAGGAAAAGGAGAATGTTGTGGCCACAAGCATCAACACAGTGCAAAATGTTGGACTTTTACTCTTTCATTGTGTATAATCCATAACCCTTGGTCTAAACATAGCTTACATTTATCTGTTATTTTGACTTCATAACAGGATCAAGACAAGCAGAATTTTTCATATTTGTCATCAGATGATGTTAACAAGCAGTTCATGCAAGCAGGGATCACAACTAATATTTCAGAATCATTCCAACTTGAATTACCTTATGAAATTGACAGTGAAGATCCGGAGTCTCCTCATTTGCATGATCCAGAAACACACGACTTTAGGGATCCTACAACAGCGTCGGAGTATGATGGTGTATTGTCTGAGTGCTTCAACTTAGCTATGGGGTCTTCACATGATGTACTTGACAAAAGCACTATTCTGACTGAGCTGAATTTTCTAGAGAAGGATGACGCTTATCATGTCCATGAAAAAGCTCCAATGAGGGGTGTACATTTGCATGATGAGACTTTATTGTGCCAAGAGATTGAAATAGTGAACTCAAGTAAACATCTATCACAGGATGAATTGGAAAACCTTAAAAGAACAAATCAAGAGCTCAAAGAGAAGCTGTTTATTATGGCTGAAGAAAGTAATAAGCTTTCAGAGATTATTGTTGCAAAAGATGTAGAAATTGCTTCTTTATCAGAAGAATGGGAGGCTGCAATTTTTTATCTAACAAGCTTCTTAACAGATGGATGTAGATCACTGGATGATGCATATCAGAACATTGATAATATGATTAGCTCATTTCCTCACAGTAACAGTTCTGTAAGTGAACATGTGGAGAAGGCTATGAAAATTAGCATTGAGAAAGAAAAGATGATATTCAAACTTCAAAATGAACTACAAACTGCGCAGAAAATTGGCAGGGAAGTGAAGGAAAAGCTGCATATTTTAAGAGGTGCAACTCTTGCTATAACTGAAGCTCAGCAGTTGGATAATGAAGAAAGCTCTCAGGAAGAACTACAGCTAGTAGGTTTATTGCACCAAAAGGATTGTATAATACAAGAACTAAAGAACAATTTGAAAGCAGAAAATTGTGTCTTTGCAGAAAGAGTAAAAGGACATTCTCGTGATGACCTAGTGTTGCCTGATAGTTCAGTTGACATGATTGAGGAATTGCCTCGTGATGAAAATCAACCAGCAGCTAGTCAAGCTAATCCAGATTACCAGGTACTCCAAGCTAAGCAACAGCCACATAACTTGTTTCGATGCGTGCATCTGGTGTGAGTAGTGTGAGATATTATTTGCCTATAGACAACATAATCTATCATAGCTGAAATCGAATATATCCCAATAGGATCTTTCTTATTGGTGAAAACAAGCAATACCAAACTTTAGACTTTCAGAATTCATTGTTTCATTTTTTAACTTATCACGTTTATTATCCAACTTCCTACCTGTTCTCATTGTCACTTCTGCTCTACTGTAACTACTTGGTAAGTTGTAGGTCACTTGTGTTTTCTGTTACATTATTATTTTGCTAAAAAATCATTACGATGGTGCTTCACAAGAAGATTCTATACTGTGTTTTATTATTTATTTCTGCAACTGGCGATGAAATTCATTCTCCTGTTTATTTGGCCTTGTAGAAAGTGTGCATCCGTATGTTTAAATTGATCACTAAGAAACACAAAAGTCAAGTTTTCATATGGAAAAGCTACTAGCATCAAAATACTTATTCTAATTTTGCTAAGATATACTCTCTCTGTCCATCATAGCAAGACATGTTTTGGTGGGGAAAAGTCTTTCAATATAGGTTTTGACCTTCAATTTTTGTTACAAATAATTGGGCTATATATAGAGTACATGAGAGACACAAGGGGGAAACCCTAGACTAGGAGATTACACTAATACCACTATTATACCTTGAAAATTTTCTCTTAGGGGCCGTTTGGATCCTTTCAATTGGAGGAATTGAAATCTACTTAATAAATTAAGCTATTTGGCTTGGAATTTGACATTCCACCAATTTTCAAAGTTCAAATATAAGTCTATCTCAAATTCATAGGGTGAGAGATGGAAATTGATTTCTATAGATCACCATGCTATGTTTCTACTTTGCAACTTATAACACGCTCTTCAACTCTCTCTCCTACGGTAGAAATGCAACACATAAGTATCTCTCTCGTATAGCCAACAATAATATACAAATATAATCCATATACAACCATATTAGCTTAGTTAATATGTGTATAAATTATGATTATTAAAATGAGTTCAATTCCAAGGATCCAAACGGGGCCTTATAGTATATTGTCAATTGCTACAAAATTAACACCTTCATAGAGTTACATTGACTCTTAGTAAAAAAAACAAAGTTTGACTTTCCAAATTAGTTCTTACATTGATGGATGGAGTAACTGAAAAGGTAATGGTCAATGAGTTGTATTTGAGATTTTGTCAATGCCTTAAATGATTTAGGTATAAACAGAGACTCTACCATACTAAACCAACACAGAAAAATTGAATTGAACAGTAGTTTTCAGACATTATCTAAAGATCAAGTACAGGCTAGGAAGTATGCCACATTGACCTCTGGCATAAGAATGCTTACATTATTTACAGCGCTGCACATAACAATCTGTATAACCATGTTTCTAAATATGTATAAAATGCTTTATCTTTCATACCAACTGAAAACAGAAAATATATAACAGTAATATTCTTCATGCACAGAAACGCCTTTCTCATGCACCCCAGTTGTTAGTTTCTTTCTGGATTATGAAAATCTGATTGATAATGTGGAATTTTATTGTGCCAAACCTTGCAGTCAAAGCTTGATAGTGTGATGCATCTTGTCGAAGACAAATCAAATAAGGTTCTGACCTTATTTTCAAATTTTGAGGCAGCTCAAGAAACCATGGAAGAGGCTGAACTTATGCTTTCAGCTTTGTTGAAGGCCAATGAAGAATTAAAACTTGAGAGAGATAATTGCAGGCAAGCTGTGGAATTGTTGTTGTCTGAGAAAAGTTCTCTGATCGGTGACTTGAAGGAACTTGAAGCATCAAGCTCTTGTTCATCCCAGAAATATGACAAATTGCATCAACAGATAAATGAGTGCGTTTCAGAGATGACAAAGCTTGCTGCTATAATAAGGAAGTCGTTTCAGCAAATTCAAAGTTTTTCCATGGTAGAACTCTTCGCTCTTTGCTCAGAGATTATTACTTTTGGCCAAGACTTGAAAGGATGTATAATTGATTCAAGGTCATATATAGCGAACATGGTATCACTTATAGAAGAAAAAGGCAGATCTACAGAGCAGTTCCATCACCTAAATGCAAATGCTCGTGGGTCTGCTTGCCAACAGGTAGATTCACATTCATGCCAGTGGGGTAGCAGCAAACCTCCTCAATCTGATTATAGTGCAGAATATGCATCACTCAGAAGAGAATTTGACAGGAAGAGCAATGTTGTAGAAGGATTGTCTTTTGATCTTAAACTACTGCAAGAGTCTACCTCAAACGCAAAAGATATGAAAGATAAAGCTGATGAAATATCTACTGCCCTTAGCAATGTTCAAAGAGAACTAGATATGAAAACTTCTACAATAGAAACCATGTTGAAAAAACAAAAGGTACTTGAGGAAGAACTGGCTGAAAATGGTGCCAGACTCATTATTTTAAGATCAGAGTTAGAGCATTCCCAAAGTTTATCATCAGCGTTATTGAAGGAGAACAAAGGTCTGAGAGTGATGTTGGAAGATGAAACTGTGAAGAATAGTGAAACAAAAGTGCTGTTGGAAGAAAAAGTTAAGGTCATAGAGGGATTGGAGAGCCAAATACTATTGCTAAATCGTTCTGAAGTGGGGCGGTTGATGTCAGATATTGAAGAATTAAATAATAGCATTAAAATAATGAGTAGTGACAGAGAAAATCTCCAGGCAGAGATATTTAAGTTAAGGGACAAGCTTGAGATGGCAATGGCTTTAGCTGAGGAAAATGAAGCTGCTGCTATTGAAGCTCGTCAAGTAAGTATTTTTGTAATTAGTTTTTTTTTCCATCCACAACTCTGAATTTAATTGAAAGTGGGCACTTGTTATGCTTCTGTAGACTGCAGAGATTAGTAAAATCTATGCTGAGGAAAAAGAGGAGGAGGTTAAGATTCTTGAACGATCTGTCGAGGAACTTGAAGGAACAGTGACTGTTCTTGAGGAAGAGGTACACTCTTCATTGGTCTTCTTCGTTTTGTGCTTTCTCTGCTTATCGGGCAACTTGCCATAATGAGATACATGGCTGCTATAAACATTTTGTAATAGTGATTATAATACATGTAGCACAATAGTACCACAAATTTCCATTTGCCATTAGATTTAACCTTTTCAGATGTAACTATGCAAGGATTGGTGCATGAACATGGAGAGTCAGACTCTACTTTGTTGCACAGTATTATCTATCACATATTCTTATTTTTGCTGAAGGTATGCAACCTTAAAGAGGAAGTAAGGAGCCATCAAGTACATAAACTATCTGAAGCCCACTTTCAAGCTTTTGATGGCATGCTTGCTGTAGAAAAAGCATCAAAATGTGATGCTGCTGAGGAATCGTGTCAAGGGAAATGTCATCTAGAAAAGTAAGAATTCAATTGAATTGCTTGTTGCCATGAGGCACCCATAAGGTGTCTATGAACTTGTTTCAACTGATGGCATCTTCAATGTAGGAGATTGCAAGCTGAGATTCTTGCACATCAAGATGTCAGAAAGAAGATTGAAGGTCTCAAATTGGAAGCAAAGCGTAAAGATGATGAGGTTCATGTCGAACTTATACACAACTATTTGAGATTTTGAGTTCTTTCTTCTCTTAAATAATCATCTAAACCGGCAATACACATTCATATAGATTGGGCAATACATAGAGCATATTGCTGAGTTGGTCCTGCATTCAGAAGCACAGTCTTTGTTGTTTCAGGAGAAGGTATGGAACACTACCTACATTGTTTTGTGTCTATTTGTTACTGTCTATGTGCTACTAATTCTTGTTGTGCAGTACCATGAAATGGAGCACATGGTTTCTAGACAGAAGTTTGGTCCGCATGAATCTAGTTCTGAGACTGTCCATGCCAAAACTGAAAAGCCTTCAGGGCGAGCAAGAGGATCCAGCTCCCCTTTCCGGTGCATATCTAGCATTATTCAACAAATGAACTCTGAGAAGGATCAAGAAATCTCGGTGGCACGCCAACGAATTGAAGAACTGGAAGGTTTGGTTAGTTGCAAACAGAAAGAGGTAACATGTGTTTCTTTGACCTTTGGTTTTTTTAGTAGTCTGGATTGAAATATTTAGCACTGGTCAATCATGATATATTGTTAATCAGGATATATTGTCTCACACTATCATAATGTTGCTGTTGTATATGTCCTCAGATTGCAATGAGGTTCACCATCTGGTCCGAATCCAAATTCCATGCTACCTAGTTGGTTTTCCTCCTTAGGCTATTATTCAATACAAGAACTATTATTCATAGTAGAAACCATAGCTTATACTATGATACATCAGGTGCCATCTATTTACTTAAAAAGAAAGGGCTAATGACGTGAACGTTTACAATTGTGTGCTGCACTGGGATAAGTTATTTCGTTGAAGAAATTTTTACAGCTTATCATTTCTCTGGGAAATAAGATACAAGTGATTATGCTCCATGTTTAACTATAATTTGGACTATTTATTGTCCAATATTCAGCTACTTCCTGTAAAGTTTATGTTTTTTTTTTCTCCTTGACCATAGATATGGTTGCTAACATCAAGACTAGCTGCTGTGGATACCATGACACATGATATTATAAGAGAACTACTTGGTGTCAAACTAGACATGACAAACTATGCTGTAAGTAGCAGAAGTTTCTCCAAGCTGTTAAATATTAGGTGTTATTGTTATACTGTTCACTTAGTGAGATTTGTTGTTCACATGTCTAGAATTTGGTTGACCAAGAAGAGGTGCAAAAGTTGCTGATAGCATCCCAGCAACAAATTGAACAATCAAAGGCGAAGGTATGCCACCAACAAATCTGTGTTTTACTAAGTTGAATCATACTATCAGATGGTGTTCCTCATTTTTTCATCTGTTTTGCCACTGTAGGACACAGAACTTGAAGCGTTGAAAGAACAGCTTGGTCTTCTCATTCTGGAAAGGGACAGGTGAAACTTCTAATCCTGAATTGTTCATCTGATCATCCTGCTTATAGTTGAAATTACTGAGTCAAGTGAACATGTTGGGATTTTATTTCTTTCAACTTCAAGCTTGCTTGATGACATGGACCAAAGAAAGACGGACCTATTAGAGGCCCAACTGCTCGTTGAACAGCTTGAGCAACGGGAGCAGATGCTGGAAGCACAGATTGAAATGTTACAGGTTCAGAAAATACTTTTGCGCCCGAGAACTTCCCTCCAAAACATATTGCGCTATTCAACTTACTACCTGACTTCGATCATGCTAAACTTGTGCATATGTGTTTTTGTAGTTGGAGAAAGACAACCTTCAACAGAAGACCATGGAGATGGACGAGACAATTGAACTTCTAGCCAGATCAAACCAACAAGATATAAATCCAAGAATGGTGAAGGTACCTTCACTATAAATGCTACACGTTCAGCCGTTAATTGTGAGCTTCTGATGACCTGAACATTTCTACAGGGGGATAACCACCATCGCGGCAGCAGTGAGTTCAGCAGGCGGCTAGCTCAGTCCGACATGCTCCTCTCCCATGCGAGACATGAACATTCTCGCCAGCATGCGGCCGGAAGCTCGAGGACGCACCATGGCCGGCATCGGTGAAGCATTGCTGCTTGCTGGAATGCTGGTGCGTCAGCCGTCAGACACCGCTTGTGTTTGTAGATTGGCAGCGGCGCGGGTTCTGTAGCCGGGACTGTACAGATTGTTCGGAAGCCGTAAGGCCCAAATGGCAATGTCCAGAAGAAACCTTCCACGTCTGTAAGATCTGCGCGACTGCGCGCTTGTAAATCTGATAGTGCAATGTACGCGTTGCTTGCGTAGAGTTGCCATTTGGGCCGTTGTATGTTCTTCCACGAGACCTACGTTGTAGGTTCCGGCTTTTCAGCAAGAAGTGAGATTTCCCCAAACAGCTGAGATTTGTTTCTAGTTGTACAGTTGTAACCCGTAACCGAGGGTTAGGGTTAAGTGCCGAGTCATAGCTTTTCAAATGGATGGATCATCATGGTTCAGGACACATTCTTCAAGCTCCCAATACGTTGGCCTCGCTGTAATGAGGCGCAGATAACATGCTCAAATTTTTTCTCTAAAGAATGGTCCATTGTTTTCATTATTTTTACTCCATTTTAATTTAATTAAACAAACGGAGGAAGCTGCTCCCTCCGTTTTAAAATAAGCGCACATCTTGTTTTTTAAGGAGCCAATTTTTTTAAAATTTAAACAAATATAAAAAATATACTAATATTTATGATGTATACTATTAGATTAAACATGAACTATTCTTTTATAATAAATGTATTTGTTCACGTCTACATGTTCAGTAATCGATCCCCTGTGATTTCGAGAGGGCCAGAGGCGCCGCCAAGTAATTGACAGCCCACGAGATCCGCCCCCGTGACCCGGTCCAAGCTTCTCGACCTCACTCCACTGTGTCCACTCCGCCGGCCACCGCTCGTCTACCCCTTCCCCTCGGACGGTCGGACCCCATTCCAACGGCCGCGGAATTCGAATTCACACGCACTCCAGGCTCATTCAATTTCGGACTACCTCGACCCCCTCTCCAAGACCCCAATCCCACGCCCCTCCGCCCACCTCCCTCTGCCCTCCCGCCGAAGCCCCAGCCCCCATGGCTTCTCGAGAAGGTACGAACCCGGCGGCCGCGCCCGCCCCGCGGGCAGATCGCGCGCCCACTAACCCGCTTTCTCTTCTCGCGCAGACGACAGGTGGTCGGAGATCGTGGCCAGCGGCCGGGCCCGGCCTCCACACATCGGCGTCGTGTACGGTCGTCGCCTGGTCGAGGAGTCGTCCGGCAGGACGAACATAGAGACGTAAGAGCGCTCCTGGCCGCTGCCAATCGTTTGTTCGTTCGTTCGCCGGCATGTCACTGGTTTTGTGGATTTAGGGCTGCCTCTGCCGTGATTGGGTAACGCGTTTTCCTGTTCCCGCAGGAGGGCCAGCTTCAGCGGCCTGCGGCGGCCGAGCTTCGTGCCGCGAAAGCGGACCAGCTGGAACCGGTCGCTCTCCATCAGGTGCGCCTAGCTTCCATTTCTCTTCAGTAGCAAATTTGTTCATGTGACGCGCAGTTTTACTTCCATTTTGCAAACGGTTCCATTAGACATTGTCTCCAGGAATGTCACTAGAGACCAATTCCTTTAGGCCACGTTCGATTGAAGGGGAACGACTCCCTGGAAATATTCCAGCTCGGATTCGTTGTCTAATTTGAATAAGTTTTGTCAACCAGAATTATTCCTGGCCTGGTTTGAGCTAAACCGAACGAGCCCTTACAAAGTCTGGTGGATGGTCCAACATATGAGGATTAGAGGCATACATACCTGCACCATAAGTAGTTAAACAATCCGATACCTGATTACCAATTCTATTGCAAACCGAGACTCACAAACTCAGGGGACATCAAATCTTCTATTGCACCACCTGCTGTTCCACACCGGGGACCAAACTGATAGTTTCAGTACCTGAATTGCAGCCTTCCAGCATAGTTCTCTCTTTCACATTTCATTGTTCACCAGCGCTCCTTGACATGTTTGCACTTGAAAAAAAAAAAGATGGCCAGTCTTCATCCATATGAATGCACAATGGGCACACGGTATCTAATTTAATCCCTCTCCTTGCTATGTTACGATGTACTGGCAGGTTGTTATGAGCCAACCTCTAAACAAACTTTTTCACCTTGTTAGCAAGTTTCGGCATTATATGAATCTCAAGTAAGTTTTTAGCTAACAAATGTTTTGAATACAGAGGGAGAGAGAGTATTTTTGTCGCACCCGGTGCAAGTCTTCAACAGAAACCCTGTGGAGCACTGAAACGACCACCCAAACCTAGCAACCTAGTGGTGGGTCTACTATTTCTACACGCATATTTTCTGATGTTGTTGAATTAGTTTCTTGTTAAGCTTGCCATGTTGTTTACAGAAGAAACATCAGGGTGGCCCTCCCGATTTTAGCAAGGAGAAGGCGTATTTTGAAGAGGTCGATGCTTTTGATCTCATGGAAGAAAGTCCTTCTCCTAAGTACTTTGCCTCGTGGAACAAAGGGATGGAGGAGAATGTCATAATTCATGATCTGCCTGCAATTTTGGAGAGGTGGAAAATTTCCAGTCTTGCAAGACGTGCGTCATCCGAGCCCTTGTTTGACATTATGGAGACGCCAATCTTACCATCAGTCCTCAGTAACAACAGTACAACTAACAGAGGGTCAGGGACATACACCGCTGGAAGGGCAATCCCTGTAGGCTACACTGATATCAGTTTAAAGAGCAGTGAAAAAGACAGCCTGATTACATCATTCGGTAAAGTGAACATTAAGGAGGAGCCTGTTGAAGCTAGCATTCCATGGAATGGTGAAGCTCTGAGTGCTTTTGACCAGCTCCTCATGGTTTGCAGACAGTCTGCACCAGTTACCCTGGCAGAAGTATTCTCTGCTTATTGGTAGGTGTTCAACCTTTCAATATAAATATTATTCCTTTGTTTTCTGGATGCTTTTGTGGTTTGCTGTTAGTTAATGATATTGTTCATGGATAGTGAGCTAGGCAGCATCAAGAAGCTTGGTGAAGGGACCTATGGGGAGGCCTACAGGGCTGGAAGAACGGTGTGCAAAGTGGTACCTTTTGACGGAGACTTGTTAGTCAATGGAGAAACCCAAAAGGTTCACTTCATTAATTAGTGTTATCTGGTCTATATTTGTTTGGTACTCATGAGGTGGTTCTGTTTTGCAGAGATCGGAAGAAATACTTGAGGAAGTCTTACTTTCTCTAACGCTTAATAATCTGAGAGCAAATCAGGGTGATGATGTTAAAACAAATTCATGCAATGGTTTCATTGAGACAAAAGAGTATGTGCCTTTCATTATCTTTGCAGTGGGAAAATACATAAAACTTTGACTATTTATAGCTTGTATGAAGAACCTGTATTCTGTGAGATAATCTGCTGCACTGTCCACCCTTTGCAGCCTGCTGCACTCCACCTTTGCAGCAGTAGAAAAGTTGGCAATAAGTCAACCGTGCTGTCTTCTCTAATCTCTATCTACTGTAACAGGATGGCGGCAGTCTGTAGCGGCTGATCTCAGCCCACTAGTGGCCAGCTGTAGCTAGTAGTGGATATAGTACTAGCAAGTAATAGTTTACTAGAGTTGTTTATATAACAACTTGTTTAGCAATAAAAAGCAGTTCGGTTTGCTGCACCAGCAGACGTGTGCTCTCTGTTCTCAAGTTCATCTTCTACCTCTAACCGTGAGTTGTGAGAGGGTGAGTGAGCTGCTGCTGCTCACCTGCGCAGTGAGACCGGTTTCCAACATATTCTTTCAAAATTCTACAGCACTATTTATCTAAAAATTGTACTAAATGATTAAAGCCTGGCTATGAATAATTTTGATTTTGTCTGTACAAAGGTACTTCAATAACACTAAATACCTTGGTTTGAGTGCCTCTCAAGTTCATATATCTTGCAGCTTTCGGGTCTGTCAAGGACCCTATGACCCTTCTCTGATTCGTGCCTGGGAAGACTATGATGCGGAACGTGGATCTGAAAATGACCATCCAAAGGAGTTTACAAGGGAACAGGTAAGTTCTCACCTTAGGGAAACAAAATATCATGTCATTGTCGTGGAACATGGGAAATAGAACATGCCTCTTAATTTACCTCTTACATGTAATCTTTGTTTTCAGTGCTACATTGTCTTTGTGCTAGCTGATGGTGGCACTGATCTTGAAAGTTTCGCTCTAGTTGACTATAAAGAGGCTCACAGTTTACTAGTTCAGGTCCGCACAATGAATTTTATAATATATTATATTATACATGTGTGACCTCAACTACAAAGTTCTAAGGACAGCTATATTTCATTCTATTGATGCAGGTTACTGCTTCCTTAGCAGTAGCTGAAAGTGCTTGTGAATTTGAACATCGAGATTTGCACTGGTCTGTTCTCTCAACACAACTTCGGTGATTCATGTCTTTAATTTAAAATCTCAGAGCCAATATCATTTTGTATAGTGAAAACAGTGTCGTATGAAAAAATAATGGAAATATATTTCATACCTAAGTGCTTTAGCTTTCACAACCTAATGCTATATTTCATATTTTAGTTAACACCACCATGTGCGTGGCATGGCAGGGGTAACATTCTTTTGGCTCAAGATGAAACTCCAGACACAAATCATACAATGAGCTTCACTCTTCAAGGGAAGAGGATGCATGCAAGAACTTTTGGTCTGAATATTTCCATAATTGACTTCACTCTTTCTCGGATCAACACAGGTGCCCCCAGAATTATCTGTACTTATTAACAGACTAAGTTCTTCATTTTTGCATTGCATTTACCGTTGTTTCTGCAGTTTGCAATATTCCTTTAGTCTTTGAAGTTTTTCATCATTTGTGACAATTGTACAACAATTTTTTGCCATGCGTAAATAAGAAGTTGCTGCAACTGATAGAAGGGAATTACAAATACTTTTACTGGATTAGAGGAATCCCTTAAAGTTCAATGTGGCAATCTTCTAACTTGTCCAAGTTTATTGACTCTTTTAGAAAGTACAAGGTAGACACACTCAGCACACACGTGCTGGTGCTGTTGGTCCTCTACACGCTAGAAATTTACCGTTTGACTCAGAATTTAGGATTTGAACTTTGGTGGGGTGGATGCACACTGATAGTCCTAACCACAGGGGCAGAGGTTAGGTAAGATCAACTTGGGGTCCTGGGCCATCCCCCCTAGCTTCTTAAATTGTCTTAGACCATATAGTAATCCATGGCTAATTTGATCCATGCATCATTAGTGGCCCCCTTAAGATTGTGCTTAAACTCGGCCACTGCCTAGCCTAGCCATCTAGCCACAGGCCAACTTATAAGTATGTCAACTTGTTGGCCTTCATGGTGAAAGGAGAATAGATAATGCTTCATATCGTAGATAAGAACAAAACAATGTATGCTTAATAAAATAATACTTGCCATTTTTGGCTCTTACTGTGCTGCAGTTTTTGTCAGCTTGAAAAGTTGAATATATGAACAGAGTTGAGGAGCAGTGGAATAATATGATAGCAGGCGATGAGGTAGCTAGATGAAATATTTATTGAGGTTTACACCTGAAACAGTTGGTGCCACGCAATCAGCAACAACATTTTGAAACTTCTTGCTCCTAGCACCAAAGTGACTGTAGATCATTTAAACTTTTAAAGAATAGGACATGTAATGCTGTAACTTTTTTTTTTTGCCTCTCTTATATTCTTTGATATTTTGTTATAGGGACTGCCATTCTTTTCCTTGACCTGTCTGCGGACCCTGCATTATTTCAAGGGAAAAAGGGAGATAAGCAGGTTTTCTTCTGATCTTCCTGAGAGTAGTATGTTAAAACATTATTATGTGCTTTACCTAACGCATTGCATCTCGTTGTTTGCAGGCAGAAACATATCGAAGAATGAAACAGATCACCCAGGAACGCTGGGAGGGCAGGTAAACAGTAATCAGAGTCCTCTTCTGTTGCACATGCGATGTTGAAGTTCCCTTGAAATAGTTACTTGGCGCCATATTTGGTCCTGAATCTGTACGTGCCTTGCAGCTTCCCGAAGACAAACGTGGTGTGGTTAATCTACCTTGTAGATATGGTGCTACAGAAGCTGAAACCACTTGTGAGTTCATCATTCCCCTCCGCTTTTCAATCCCTACTGATGTTATCTGCGAACCAAGGAATCTACCAGCGTCTGTGTTTCTAAATTCTATCCCTGTGAACACTGTTGGCTAGGCTTCTGGAAACAAAATCGAGCGGGAGCTTCGCTCGTTCAAGAAACGCCTGGCGTCTTACGAGTCCGCTGGAGATTGTCTGGGCGATCCCTTCTTTGCTGATGTCTTGATGACCGAGGATGACGAGCTCCCTTCAATGCCTCCTCTGTAGGCGGACCTGCGAACCGGCAGAGAAATGTAGGGTGTTGAGTTTAGGAGTGTGTTATTTATGACGTGCAGAGAACGTAATGCCTGGGTGTGCGCAAGAGAGAGCTTGCTGTTGCCCGGGCGCCTTTTGCTACTATTAGTGTCTAATTGATCATCGCGTTGGTCCTCGGCTCCTGGCAGGCTGTGTCTTACTGCCAGGGATCGCTGCCATGATGCTGTTGCCATCGGAATTCCCAATGCAACCTACCAGTTTGTGTTCGACACCCCATCGCGGTCGCTGTGAGCGGCGTGGCTATCCGCCTATCCCGATCCACCTGGTCTGCTGCCCTGCTGGGCATGGCTTGGCTCGGCTCATTGGGACCGAGGTGACCTTCCAGTACAGAAGCACAGGAAAACCCAGCACTGGGGCAGAAGCAGAGGAGAAGCATAGCAAACTGAGAACCTTCACCGCAAGATCACAAACCAGAGTCACAAGTTCACAACTCACAAGAATGAACCATGAAGAATCTCAATTCTCACATTAATTCTCGCATTCACATCACTACCGCGTATACACAGACAACCAGAAAGCCGGTGCTCGCAAGCAATAAACAACAAGAGTGCCGCTAGAAACCTGAAGCTACTACTCAGCAATGCAATAGGGAAAGAATGGGCGGACGTAAACAACATGAGACAATATACAAGCACAAAAGAATCGCGAAATCATGTATCGTGGCTCACAAGAGAACTCTGATGTGCTGCGCTGTACTGCAGGGAGCAGCCATTCACAGCGCTCAGAGCCCTCCGAAAGCATCGACGGACAGAAGCTTCCTGTTCATGGCTGGAGGTGCCAGCCCCGGAATATCTCTGATGTTCTTGTTATGTGGGTTGACAATCTGTGAGAAAGAAGGGTAATTGGTTATTGATTGTCCAGTGTAGGAAACCAGCAAATGGTCTAAGATTCTCATTAGGAACTAAGCTGATAATGGCTTATGTGGGGAGAAAAAGAATAGATAGGGTTTCAAAACAAACACAAAATCAGTATGCTTGAGTGCGCTAAGGCTGGACGTGCATCATCATTCTCAGTCATCACTATGTTTGTTCAAGTTGTTAGCACTAGACCCTAAAGAACTAAGGTAAAGTTGCCCAACTTTAGTTCCTATAATTTAATATAAGGAAAACTTTCTGAAAATTATCCAACGAAGTTTTCTCAAATTGTCTTTGATATTTAGTTCCAACAGATGATTCTATGGGAAAGTTAGATAGGGGCCACAACTGACCCAACCACATGGATTTTCACTCCCAAAGGTGTTGGCTACTGGTACTAGTTCTACTCTTACATGTGGAGAATCTGTTCCTAAACTGAACACCAAGCATAGCTAATCCTATTTAGGCACAAAAGAAATACAATGCTACCTTCACAGAGTCAGCAACATACCTTAACAACAATTATTGCAATAACACCACAGACAATCAGAAACAGGAACGCCATAATACATTTGTCAGTAGCAACCTGAAATGGAAAATCTTGTAAATTCAGCCACATAAGAGTAACAAAAAAACAAGCATTTGAGTGCTAGAGAGCGAGGGAGAACCTGACGGCCAATCTCTTTCACCATTTGACTAGCCTTCTTCAGTGAAAAGTGTACAGAATCTAGCTCATTGCCTATTCTCTTCATTTGTTCTGTCTGAAAAAATGATGAAATGATATTCAGAAAACAATCACACAAGCATATGGACTTTGTCATGTTGACCTTGGGAAACAACTTATACAGGTACATGTAACAGATCAAGAAATCAGATTATAAATATCAACTGTTTATTGCATATAGAACATCTATTCTGCCTTTATAAACATATCCAGTTCCTGAAGCATACTAATATAAAAGGAGAAGCTACATTTGCTCTGGAAAGTGTCGAGATTGATTGATATTTATTCCTATGAAAAATGGAATCTCAAGGTACTTTGTTCTTTGGTCTAAAGAAATCTTTGTGAACATACTTCAAATGGAAAATGTAGCAGGATTTTTTTTAGTCCTTCAATCTCAAGGCACAGATTGTGGTTGAACTATCTTTTTTAGAATACTACAGCAGTGTCTCAAGTAAATAGACAGCCAAACTTTGATTAACATTATGTCAAATAGTAATGTGAGACAATTATTGTGGATCTAATTGAAGCCCTCGGGGTTTTGTCCATTCTCAAATATATCCAAGACTGAGTGACTGACACTCAGTGGGACAGAGCAGTGAACCATTTACAGGTAAAATAAAGCATACAAATCTATTGTCAGATGAATTCAGATAAGGGGAAAGAAGGATTGTGACAAAAAAAAAGACAAGCATAACTATAATGGTTTATGGCCTTATCCAATTAAGTATGGAATTTTTGTGATCAGTAAGCCCCAGTAGAGCATAGCAAAAACTTGATGGAAAAAATTGGTTGTAAACAAACAGGTTATATCACCATTCAAGAAAACTTACTTGCTGTGACAGAGTTGCAGCAGTCTGAGCTCCAACTTCAACAGTTTGTGCTACAACCTACAAGAAAATGGTTCCTTTAAAATCCATTATGGAAGAGCTGAAGTTTATTGTTCCTTTCTTCTCTTTTATGGAGGCTACCCGAGTATATTGATTTGAGGAATATTTTGTGCTCTTTAAGCAATAGCAGAATTCTGCAAAATGGTTAAAAAATAAAACAAAAGGGTGTATGTTAGTTGCACACCATTTTTGAGCGCTCAATGGCTTGGTCAGTTTGGTCCATTTGTTTCCTTCCAGTGCTAATGAGTTCTTGATTTGACATTTCTGTAAAACCATCCAGGTACATTAGTGAGAAAGTTAACACCTATGAAGTTTGAAAAGGATATTGTTAGAAATATTAAAAGCTACTGATGACCACCTGATGCCATTTGAACTGGAGTTTCGTCAGCAACTTGGTCGTTACCAGTATCGAATAGTTCGATCCTCTTATTACCAAGGCTACTCTGGTACCTGAAACACCAAAAAAGATGCAGTGGATACAACATCTTAGCATGAAGTGTATTGCAACAGAGCAAACAACGCTGCCGGCATAAATTTGCAAATAAGGGATTCAATGTAGAATGCTTCAACTCTGAGGGCATTATAAATAGAAAAAGGAAAGGCTTATACTTACGTTTTCCTCAAGGTTACATAGGAGTTGAGTTCTTTGATCTGTAATAGCACACAAGAAACAGAATTATACCCATGTCCGAAAGTGACAAACAACAAAAGCCAAACGTGAAGGAAAAACAAGTACCAACCATGAACTGCTTCTTGTCATTGAGCTGCTTGTTGACATCAGGAGTGTTCTTTTTCTCCTCATCCTTGAGTATACGGTCAAATTCTTTGATCAAGCTGCAAGAGATAGCAGCGTATTTTATTTTAGCTAACTAAAGAGTCTCAGGGCGCTTTCATGTTGGGTCGAAAAAAAAAAGATCTGAAGTCTCTGATTCGAGTCAGGAATAGCAATGCCACGTATAGTATAGGTGGGGAAAGCTAAATCTGGGCGAGGTACGCGTTAGCTTAAAAAACACGGGGCTGAGTTGAGGCAGACGTACCGCTTGCACTCCCTCATCTTGGCGGTGAGATCCTCCAGCTGCTTGGACTGCCTGCTGGAGTCCTTGATCTTGTCCATCTTCTGGAACCCATTCCTGGAGCAAGCAGGAATTAAGAGATGGTGTGCAGCAGAGCAGAACGTAGGAAGCAGTAGGGGAGTAGTAGCTGTATATAAAGGAACTGGCTGCGACTGGAGCAGGAGCCGGCGAAATCCGGGCGCCGGACGCCGCGAATGCGGGGTAGAAGCATCTCCTCAGTCTAGTCCAGTGCAGCCGCGAGACCGAATCCGAGACCGAGAGGGCGGCGAGAAGCGCATTGGTGGAAGCAGAGGGGGGAAAGGGAGGGAGGGAGAGGGATCTGACTCACTGGAGCGCGCGGAAGATGTCCTGGATCTCGCCGTCCACCTGCTCGAGCTCGGGGCTCATGGGCACGTCGCTCGCCATGGCTCGCTGGCTGGATCCCCTCCTCTACCCGGTGTCCTGTGGGTCGCGGCGGCGGCGGTTCCTCTGTCTTGTCCGGTGGGCTTCGTCACCCCGCCATTCCGGTGGCGGCGGTTGGTCTCGGCGTGGCTGGCGTTGAGAGGAAAGGAAAGCAAGCAGCGGGCGGTGGTTCGGTTTGTTTGGTGGGAGGGCGAGCCGTTGCTGAGCTGGGTCCGTCCGGGCCGGGGCCGAGCTGTGTTCCCGTTCCCACCCACGCGCGTGAGCTGGGAAGTCGTAGGCGTCGCACTGGTGCTACCTACGTGAGTAGGTGTACCTTTTTCGTTCTCTTGTGATCAAATCATAGTTTGATTGAAAAGTGAAAAGGGAGGTGACAATTTGCAAAGTTTACGACAAGTCTTGGCCAAAATTCTGTTCATTTACTAGCAAAAAAAAAGTGGAACGGCATGAATTTGAAGGGAACGCGGGATTTTCTGTGGGGAACGCCTGGAACGATGATCGCATCAGGGATGGTTTTGAAATTTCTTATGTTTCTTTGCCACAGTTACAATACAACGGATGATAGGTCATAGGTGGCATGCGCTGTCACGAGCCCACACTTCTGTGGAGTTTTTTTTTCGCGAGTGGGGCTTAGCCCGTATTTTATTAAGAAGGCAGGAGTTTAAACATTACAGATCGGCATAATCTCACTAGCGAGACACAGGCGAGATTGACCGTGCGACGAATGAACCAGCAATATTACAAAAAAGGACTATACGGCCATACTGTTACGCGATCAAAGACAAGGATCTCTGGTGGCCTACACGGCACTCTCGGCCGGCACGCGCATGCTCCGCCTACTAGGGAAAAGCACGCGCATTGCCTCCTTCGAGGGTGACAACGGCGGCGCAAACATCTTCTGGAACTCTTCAAACGACGCCTCATCGGGCAGCTTAGTTTCGACCTCAAAACCCAAACGCTTCATCATTACCTTCCTTGCCCACGCTTCAGGTTTTTGGGCTCTGAACTTGCTCTT